TCCCTAGTTGCAGCATATATGAAGCTAAAAAGAAAAACAGTATAAATTGCCCAGCTGTAAATTAATATTTCCACCCAGATATAGAAAAAAGAGTCTGGATATTCTTCCATCATTTTATTCTAATGGAAAAAATTTTATACTACGTTGCAAAGTTCTCAAAATGATAATTTCATCATGATTACACGTATTGGTATAATTATTTGGGCTTATAAACTTTCTGAAGATAAGACTTATTGTATTAAAATGCATTATTATTGGAATCATTGGAATGATTGGGATTTGGAAAGATCATTTAGAACCTTTCGGAAGTGAAATGATAAAGTCTAAAGATCCCTTTAAGGACTTGATTTCACGAAGAATTCTTCCTGTTTCAAGTTATGAAACAGTCCGTAAAAATTTAAATATTGAATTTGGAAAAGAAAATATACAGCTTTTCAGAAAGTTTTTGGAAGATAATGTCAGAGAAGAATTTATTTAACTTGCTACGGACAAATTCTCATGAGAACATTTATTGAACTAAATGATGATAAATGTATTCGATATTTAGGCGGCAGCTGTATCGATAAGTTTGTGCATGGCGATAATCATTTAATTTCTAAAATTGCTTTGTTGAGCATTATTTTTGAAAACTTTAATGAATTATCAGAAAATCATCCTGCATTTATAGCAAGCATTTTATCCGCGATAGGATTTGTAGCTCCTTCTAAGATTTTAATTTCAAACTCTAATTCTTCACATCTTTCCGGTTATGGCGTCATTTATCTAAAACATAATTTATTGATATACTAACATCTAATCTTTGGAATCATTGGATTAGTTTTCAAAAAGCTTTCAAACTAGTTACCGAAACTTTCAAGAAAGTCATTCTTTTCTAACAGATTTAATTATAAACCCAATTATTAAATTTTATTCTATAGGTCATGGTTCAACAATACTTGCAATTCCTCTACCAAACTTCGTTTCTTATTCAAAAGGTTACAATCCTTGGGAAGAATTATTGTTACCTAGTACCAATCCTTTTACACATTCAAATAGGCTTGAAATAATAAATGAAGTGTTTTATAGATATTTAAATGGAGAAGCACTACTTAGATTCGAATGGAAGACTTATGGGTGGAAATATTAATTTACAGCTGGGCAATTTATACTGTTTTTCTTTTTAGCTTCATATATGCTGCAACTAGGGATGGGTTCGGTCGGCTTGCAGTCGGCTAGCCGACCAACTATAGTCGAAGTCGATAATAGTCGACTCGATCGGCTTAGCCGACCGGCTAGCCGATGCCAAATTTTTTATTTTCT